AACCCCCATGAACTGACAAACAACAACAACAAACAGTGAAAAACAAGGTTGGAGGTGTAGCTGCTGCCTATAAGTATGAGACCTGAAATTCAAAAAGGAAGGGAAGAAGGAAGGAAGGAAGGAAGGAAGGAAGGAAGGAAGGAAGGAAGGACAGAAAGAAAGAAAGAGAATGGTTCATGGACCTGTAAACCTGGCTGTATAATCGCAAGCCTATACTGTATTCTAAAAACTGCCAAAAATTCTCAACAAAGGAAGCCAACTTAAATACTGACTGAAGCAGCTATCCACCATAATATTGAATTGACATACAAGAAAACATTTCATATATTCAGTTGACAAATATCCATTGTTCACCATGTGCCAAGCACAGCTTGGAAGATATGGTAGAGAACAAGAAAGAAAATAAAGTCCATCTTGCCTTCTATGTTATGAAATTTGGGAACCAAAAGCAAAATCCATTCTGGATTTTACTGACTCTGCGACATCAGGAACTACAACCTAATTCCAGAGAACTGTTTTAGTTTCCATTCCCCTCTAACAAATTGAGTCGTCTTCTTTCTAAAAATGTCATCCAGCCATACTCGTGGAAATAAAGGAGGGAGTGAACGTTCTGACTCTCTGAACTTGTGATGACACATCCTTGCCAGCAATAAATACATTCCTAATATGTAAATTCTTTTGTTCACAAACTCTATCCATACTCTACAAATACTTTTCATCATAAAACACAAATATTAACTCAAAAGAAGGCAAAAATATCTAGAGAGTTTCTAATCTCACACCCTAATACATGTTCTAACTCTCTCCCATGGTGACTACATCCTATTTTGTGTGTGTGTGTGTGTGTGTGTGTGTGTGTGTGTGTGTGTGTGCATGCCAGTGCTGAGGCTTGGACTCAAGGGCTAGTGCTCACCCTTGGATTGTTCAAGCAGGTGTTCTACCACTTGAGCCACAGCTCTACTTTCAACCTTTTGATGGTTAATTGGAAATAAGAATCACTGCTTTGAACTGAATCCTCAGATCTCAGCCTCCTGAGTAGCTAGAATCACAAACATGATCCACCAGAGCTTAGCATATGGATGCCCATTTTGTAGACTTCCCCTCAGATTCCTGAGCACTAAGGGCAGCCTATCCAGCAGGATAGGGGAATAAATAAATAAGGATCTCAACGGAAGCAAACTGCCCCTCAGAAGCAGCATGGCAGAGTGTAGCAGAGCCTGACAAAAGCACCTCTAACACTGAAGAAACAGATGAAGATATTCAACCATTACAACAGATAGAAAAATGATATGCTGGAGTGGGCACTGCTGCAAACTGTGCCAGGCCCTAGATGAGAAGCCAAATGGACAAGGCCAGCTGGCCTGGAGAAAGTAGAATAAAGGCCACAGGGTCATGCCAGACTGAGACTGGTCACCACTGAGCAGATCTGTTCTAGGGACCTCAGAGCTTCAGCCCCCCCACCCCAAGTGCCAAGGACACTCATCTTGCCTGAGGTTTAGAGAGGTGTTAGCATCCCCAGACTTACTACCAACCTTTGACAGGAGAGAAGAACAGAGGCTATAAATATCTTCGGAGGCTAACCTAGGGCTCTTGGCACTCAGCCATACCCTCTGGACTTCAGTTCTGAGGGTCCAGGTCATTGTCAACTCTACATGTTGGGATACCACAGAACTTCATGTAAGACACTGTACAGGTAACTGTCTTATGTGAGGAACAAAGAGTCATCTGACTGCTTTACTTCTGGCACAGAAACAAGGTACATTTTTCCAGCTGGGATACCAGGTAAGCAATGACTACAGTACAGTTATGTAAGATTATCTAGAAGTTGATACTCATTTCCCTCCCACATACTATAAAGCCTACAGCCACTGGCTTTTCATCATACCTAAAACCACACAAGGAAAGACATCCCTAAGATGTACTCTGGAACACTAAGTTCATTTCACTGAAGCAAAGGTTTTGCTTTAGTGATTTTTAATGCCTTGATCTTAGCTATAACATGTAGCTTTGCAGAAGCTACAATCCCGGACTGTACAATGCATATTATTATCAGGACCCCATTTTTTGGTGCATATGGCCATCCTAGTTTCAATCATTAGACAATATAAAGCCCTGGGTTTCTCTAAATGTGGGGAAACAGCAGGCTGAAGCCAGGTTGTGGAAGCACCTGCAACAGACAAGCTAAATAAAGACTGAGGCCTAAAGAGAACAGGCCTGGCCATTTCTGTTCAGGGGGAATTTGATCAGAGCTCAGTTACAGAAAAGGTACTTATGTTTAAACCAGGCTCTAGACTAGTTGCTAAGAGAACGAAAGACAGAAACAGATATGTTGGGCAGTGTTATAGAGAGTAAATTAGATTAAGTTGAACTGGCTGGCTGACTAGATTTCAGGACATAAGTCAAGGACAATACTGAAAGCCAGATATTCCTTCAATAGGCACTGGGCCCAGAAATAACCTCTCTCCCTCTGTGTGTATGTGTGTGTGAGAGAGAGGAGAGAAGATGAGAGGGAGGGAGGGAGGGAGGGAGGGGGGAGAGGGAGAAAGAAACAGAGAGAGAGGGAAAGAGAAAGAGAGAGAGAGAAAGAGAGGCTGAGTCATTTTTTCTTCATACAAGCAGAGAGAGTTGGGCTATCTCAGAGCTTGGGCTTGCTCTAAAGAGTCTCAAAGGTAATAAGAAAGACAGAAAAATCAATAGCATCTGTGTGGGCTGGGATTTCACACCCAGCCCTCCTCACTGCAGCCACAGCAGCCCTGCTTTGAGTTATTATTACATGTCTTCCAGTATTGCCTAAAATTTCACTGGGGAAAAAAAGAGGCTCAGACCACTGAATGATACAATGCCTTCACACCCTGAAAGCCTGCAATTGTATTTTGATATCTATTACAAGTTTTCAACATGATCTAGAACTTACTGAGTATGCTTAAAATGCCTCAAGACAGAGAACAGAAAGCAAACCTGTGTCACAATGAAGGCAATCTCCTACGCAGTGTACTCTGCTCTATCTGTGCTGAGCCTGCGCCCATTTGCACCTGTACTCTCTTCTTCCTGCCACCTGCAGTATTAGTCATGCAGCCCAACGATTCTGCAGGCTGACAAGACCAAGTTCCAGGGCAGGCAAAGTCTTTTACTTTTTTTTTCTTTTTGGGTCTGGTCGTGGGGCCTGAACTCTGGGCCTGGGCACTGTCCCTCAGCTCTTCAGCTCAAGGCTAGCACTCTACCACTTGAGCCACAGCGCCACTTCCAGCATTTTTCTTTTTGCTTATGTGGTGCTGAGGAATTGAACCCAGGGCCTCATGCATGCAAGGCAAGCGCTCTACCATGGAGCCACCTTCCCAGCCCCAGCTTTTACTTTTTAAATTCTCTAGAAAGTCATGGCTTGGTGGCAAATGATCTCATCACACATTGAACTAAGCTGAATCAAGTCTCTTTCAGTTTGGGGGTGGTACAAAAGGAGTGTGCACACGGAACGTAAACGAGAGGAACAATGAAGCATGAAACAGTGGGAAAAGAAGAGAACTTCTCCTGCTCTGTCATGTTACAAGGTGGGTAGCCTGGAACTTGGCAGCTCTAACTGAATTGAGCATTTTCTAGCTCCAGAGGAGTTGTGAAGTCAAGCAATTAAGAACACAGGCCCTGAAATCAGATGGCCAAGGTTCAAATCCTAGTATGGATAACTTTAAGTTTTAGAAAGCATGAGTGAGGAAGGGGTGATATTGCACAAAAAGAAATGTACTCTTTATCTTACTTAACAGTAACACCTTTGTTCATCACCTTTATAATAACAAGATATTTTTTTAAAAAGAGTATGAATGAGTAGGACCTGTCTTATAGATTACTCAGAACAGCATTTATTAGCTACTACGGTCACCTCTCCTGTCCCTAACTCCTGCCTGCTCAGGCTGTGGCTACCACTTTGGTGGCAATTCTAGCCTGTTTTAAAGCTGACAGTTGAGTCTTGGAAGAGAAGACTTAATCAGTGATGTTCAGGCATTTTGACCTTCTGGAAATGGACTTTTCCCTCACACCAAACCTGAGGGGAAAGTGCCAATTTCTACAGCTGCCAAAACTGTGCAAATGTGTAGATAATATATTTATCAGACATTCTACCCAGAAGGAGGAAATAGCCAAGAAGGCAATCCATATTTCTTCCTTTGATACTCTAACTTCTTTCTATTTATCTTTGCAAACCACACAATCCTTATGCTAACAGCTTTTTCTCTAGAACACATGACAGTCCATTCCAATCCATTCAAGAGTTTTAAAGTAGAACATATCTTAACTTAAAATATATATTATATCTATCTATCTATCTATCTATCTATATATATATATCTGAGTATACAGGAAATCTTGGTAAAGTGTTAAACTTAATAAATATTCAACAAGAAGGGAGAAATAAAGCATATCCACAGACCAAGCATGTGATATAATAATCTTCAAACAAATGTGACCACATAGAAAAAGTTCACAGTGTGACTTCGGTGATTAAAATGACATTATCAAAACTTGTGCCTCTGGAAGTGGCGCTGTGGCTCAAGTGGTAGAGCACTAGCCTTGAGCTGAAGAGCTGAGGGACAGCGCCCAGGCTCAGAGTTCAGGCTCCACGACTGGCAAAAAACCAACAGACAACAACAAAACTTGTGCCTCTCATCAACACATGATTTAAAGTTCCTCTTCAATGTTTTTAGAGTTTAAAAAATAAAACAGGAAGAAAACACACCAGATTGTTACTGGTATTTAAATCTGGAAGACCTTCATTTAAAAAATATATTGGTCCTATTTTCTGTAAAAAGCACACATTACTTTTCTTTTCTTTTTTTGTTGGTCGTGGGGCCTGAACTCTGGGCCTGGGCACTGTCCCTGAGCTCTTCAGCTGAAGGCTAGCACTCTACCACTTGAGCCACAGCACCACTTTGGGCTTTTTCTGCTTATGTGGTGCTGAGGAATCAAACCCAGGGCCTCATGCATGCAAGGCAAGCTCTCTACCACTGAGCCACCTTCCCAGGCCTCACACATTACTTTAATAACATGAAAAAAATATAAGTGGGGAAGGATGGTTTTGATTTAGATTTAGACAGCTTGCAAATTTGTATTTAAAACTGGAAGACTAGCAAATAATTCATGAAGAGAAGCAGCCCATTATGCTGAGCCAACAGTTTTGAAATCTTAGCTTCAGGAGACAGCAAATGTATCCTTTTGAGGCATACCCCAGCCCAGAACAGGTCCTTCGATCACCACCAGGTTAAGTTTCTGTCCAAAAGTGCCGTCCCTCTTAGCCAGCCACACAGACAGCACATCTGCGACCCTAAGCCTTCCCAAGGTTACCATTGATTTGATACTGTTGCCTTTTACACTTAAAAACTTATAAATATCAGGATAGAGAGTGGAAGAAATTAACTTATTATGTGGTACTTTCTCTTGTTGATACGGTCTATAGCCTCAGGATTATACAAACTTAAAACTTTCCTGGGGAGCAGCATTTGATGAAGATGAGAGGCCAAGCTGCTAGCACAAATGCTGGGAAAGCTGTCTCTACCGTATAGTTTTTGAAATCTCAAGCTCCTACTTTAGGGCTTGTGGTTCTTTCAAGTTCTCAGAAGGCTCTCTGAGCACTATTCTGTTGAAACTCAAAGTCAACTTTGGGGCCATTCTGTATCAGCTCGGTGCACTAAGAAATACTCTGCAGGCATTAGTGTCAAAGGTATTTTATGACCCAAAGTGTTTGTCTGAATACCAAGTTGGACTGATGACCTTCAATAAAAACTCTGGCACCTTACCTACTTTGTCAGTTGCAGAGTATGGCATGTAGAGGCTTCAGGACATGACAGCATTGAGCTGCCTTCAAGAAATTGTTTTTTTCTATTTTGTAACATAGGAGCCTTGCACATCGCTTGCACAAGACCATCTATAAAACATTACTAATGGGTTCAAACTGAATAGAGTTCAGTTGTAAGGGACAATAAATGCAAGGCAACAATGGGCATCTGTTTTAAATGGTAAACTTGAACAAGAAATTCAACTAGCCTTAAACATTAAGTGTCCTCTGAAGTTATTGAGTAGAAACCTCTAGAAATGACTAGTATCCTTGGAGTCCAGCTTTTTTCCCAGAAAAAAAAAAACAGACAGGGAGAAAAATGACAAACTTCTGTCTACAAATGACAGAGCCACCTGATCTCTTCTTAAACCCCACCCTTACACCAGACACAATCATATTCTACAAGACCAACACATCAAAACTAAAGATATCATATGACTTAGACATCAAGCACAGCACTGTGGCATGCCCGTACACTTTGAGTCATCCCAAACTTATGATGAAACAAAGATCAAAACTCTGCCTGAATGGGATAAATAGATACCCTGTCAATGTACATTTGTCACTTGTCACCCCTTAAATACCAAAAATGAAAAGACCAGAGAACCCTTTTTAGTTGGGCTGCCTGTATAATACTGCCTGCAGGACCTAAAATATTGTCAAAATATAAATAAAAACAGACATGGGAAGGAAATATGCCAAAATGTTTATGATTGTGGGGGAAGGGAGGTTTAAAAATCTTTGTTTACAGTAAATTTAGAAAACAGAAGTCTTTAATATGCCTACATTCTTTTGAGAGGAGAGAGTAAAGTATGCTAAAGTATCCATTCATAAAATGTTAGTGCTCTCTCTCTCACACACACACACAGAAAAAGAGAGAACACAGAGAGACACAGAGAGAGAGAGAAAGAGAGGGAGGGAGGGAGAGAGAGAGCAATCTAAATGTATTGCAGTCTTTAATAAGGAGGAACCAGTCAGGCTAGGAGGAGATTTTTCCCAGTTGAGCAGGAACAAGAAAGAAGAAAAAAAGACCTGGTCCTGTTTGCTTTGCATTTATTGTATCACGCTGTACTGTCCAACTACAGAAGACAGGATCCTTTTAGCTATGCTTTCTAGATGCAGACCATCAACTCAGCTTTTGAGTAACTTACCTGCTGCACAAGCCTGAAAAGAACTAGAATCAAACAAAAGCGTGTGTGTGTTTGTGTGTGTTCTATAATTGTTTTCATTGGGCTAATTATGGGTTATGTTGTGAAATGTGTGACTCAACCTGCACAATCTGACCAGTAGTTTCTCTCGTGGTAGCAAAGGTCAATGAACTAAAAGAAAGGTTATGGATAATCAGAGAACTCCGGATACTCCAGCTCCAAGAAACACTTAAAATTCTTAGCCAGGGCACTTGAAGGGCACTTGGTATCCCGGCGGGTCTTAATTAGGTTCCCTAACCTTCAGCTTAGGTGGGGCAGGGAGAAGCGTAGGCAAGCCTTAACAGCTACACTGATTAGCTGGAGCGTTCAGTCTTTAGATTTTAATGCACGTGTCCATTCAGGCCACCTCTGTCGGCCGTCTACCGCCGCAAGGTGATAAAATAAGGGCTGAAAATAAACAAGCCGGTGCTCCTAACACCGCTGAACGTGCAGGGCTGTGTGCAGAGGCTGTGGGCGCCCCGGAGACACCGCGAGAATTTCTACCTACGGCGGCCAGCGGCTGTCGGCGCTGCCACTGACCCTCCCGCGAGAGCGCTCCACGCAGGGGCCATCAGCGCCCGGCGACACGGGGCC